CCCTGTTTTCAATCTCCAACGCTGTTTTCTGTGACACGTGACAAAATGGGGGCCCTAAGCCAAGACATACACTGTGAAAACAGGGATTCAATCTCCAACCCTGTTTTCAATCTCTAACCCTGTTTTTTGTGACACGTGACAAAATGGGGGCCCTAACCCTAAATTTTTCAATACAAGCCCAAACGGAGGCCGCGAAATGGTCCAAGTGTGGGGGAAGCAATGGGCGTGAGGCAGCGGTGCTCAACTGCTTATTTCTCGAGCCCCTCTGCATGAAAAGTGGTTCCGTCTTTTTTGTCGTGCTCGGAGCGCACGTGTGGGTGAGTGTTTGAAAAATCGCAACAAGCAAATTCTTTATAGTGGAGACAATTTGTCAATACAAGCCCAAACGGAGGCCGCGAAATGGTCCAAGTGTGGGGGAAGCAATGGGCGTGAGGCAGCGGTGCTCAACTGCTTATTTCTCGAGCCCCTCTGCATGAAAAGTGGTTCCGTCTTTTTTGTCGTGCTCGGAGCGCACGTGTGGGTGAGTGTTTGAAAAATCGCAACAAGCAAATTCTTTATAGTGGAGAAAATTTGTCAATACAACCCTAACCCTAACCCTTAGCCTAACCCTAAGGTTGAAAAACAGGGTTGAAAAACAGGGTTGAAAAACAGGGTTGGAACTCAGGGTTGGAAATCAGGGTTGGAAAACAGGGTTAAAAAACGGGATTGGAAAACAGGGTGGAAAACAGGGTTGGAAATCAGGGTTGGAAAACAGGGTTGAAAAACAGTGTTGAAAAACAGTGTTGAAAAACAGGGTTGAAAAACAGGGTTGGAAATCAGGGTTGGAAATCAGGGTTGGAAATCAGGGTTGAAAAACAGGATTGAAAATAGGGTGGAAAAACAGGGTTGAAAAACAGGGTTGGAAATCAGGGTTGAAAAACAGGGTTGGAAATCAGGGTTGAAAAACAGGGTTGAAAAACAGGGTTGAAAACAGGGTTGGAAATCAGGGTTGAAAAACAGGATTGAAAAACAGGGTGGAAAAACAGGGTTGAAAAACAGGGTTGGAAATCAGGATTGAAAAACACGGTTAGAAATCAGGGTTGAAAAACAGGGTTGAAAAACAGGGTTGAAAACAGGGTTGGAAATCAGGGTTGAAAAACAGGATTGAAAAACAGGGTGGAGAAACAGGGTTGAAAAACAGGGTTGGAAATCAGGGTTGGAAAACAGTATTGAAAAACAGGGTTGATAAGCAGGATTGGAAATCAGGGTTCAAAAACAGGGTTCCAAAATAGGATTTGTTGGTTGGAGATCAGGCGTTTCATAACAGGATTTCACAACAGCGTACCAGAACAGGATTCGAAAAGAGGGTGTCAAACAGGATTTGAGAAGGGTTTGAGGTGCGGATTTTGAAGCGAGATGTTGGGGGATTAGGATGAGGTGTTCAGAAAGATCTGCAGCACTTGGTTCACGAGGGAAAACAATTATTTTAGACATTGGAAAACGTTGTATTCTCAATAGCAAAGATTTTTGTCCCTCTGACCGACTTTGCCTATTGTGCGTTGGATCGAGGGGGGGCCGAGTGGCGCTCCAACAGCAGTACCACCGATACAGAACTGAAGTTCAAACGAAACAGGGCAACAGCAGATGACAAAAGGATTTGGGTCACATATTAAGCGTCCCTACGATTATTTACTCCGTGTTCTATAGGAGTGTACCCCCACGAACATGGTTCACTCGTTCACTTAGTAAAATGTTCGGCAAGACATACACCGTGAAAACAGTGTTTCAATCTGAGATCCTGTTTTGAGTCTCCAACCCTGTTTTCTGTGACACGTGACGAAATGGGGGCCCTAACCCTAACAAAAAGGGGGCCCTGACGCTGTAACACGTGACAAAAAGGGGGCCCTAAGCCAAGACATACACCGTGAAAACAGAGTTTCAATCTGAGATCCTGTTTTGGATCTCCAACCCTGTTTCCTGTGACACGTGACAAAAAGGGGGCCCTAAGCCAAGACATACAAGTGAAAACAGAGTTTCAATCTGAGATCCTGTTTTGAATCTCCAACCCTGTTTCCTGTGACACGTGACAAAATGGGGGCCCTAAGCCAAGACATACACCGTGAAAACAGAGTTTCAATCTGAGATCCTGTTTTGAATCTCCAACCCTGTTTTCTTTGACACGTGACAAAAAGGGGACCCTAAGAACTGGAAATTACTATCGTGGGGGGAGTGATATCTTATACCACACGATGACATCGTTGCTTCACCTCAGGGTGCAAGATGAAACAACGGTACGCACGGTGGGTGGAGGTAATTAGACGGATTAGGCGGTGTCAATTATCCTGCCACCTTGCTCAGGGGGAGCGGTCACTTGTATTTGTTGAAACTCACCATATTTCCTGCCCCTCCCCCACCCCTCTCTCCGCGCCCCCTCGCAGCATGTCCTCGACCGTCAGAAGGCGAGGGACAGCGAAGGCGACAATGTGCCGTACGTGCTTGCGCGCACGGTTAGGAGCAATCTACAATACTTGGCGGCGCAAGAGATTGGGGCTACTGGGCAAGGAAACCAATGCCGGCGCGGAATGTTGTGCAGCCGCTATGGGCATGTTTTGCGGCAAGGGGAAGGAGGGCATTCCTCGTGATGTCGTTCTAGCGTTGCTGAGGCACTAGTAGGCTCGCATCCACGGGTCTGTTCGAACGAGAGGCCTGGTTGAAGTCGACAGAGATGTTTTGTTTTTGCGGTTGTCTAGTTGCACTGGCGGACAGTGCGAAACTTTCGCTTAAAAAAATAATGCATAAGAGAAAGTACCAGGGTTGTTGTTGGGGGGCTACTCAGGCGTGCATGTGTGGGCAGAGGGGGACTAGAGGTTCTGCGCTCGACGTTTTTTTCTTAGGGCAAAGGGGGAGTAGAGGGTCTGCGCTAGGCATTTTTGTTTTTTAAGCTCAGCTTGTTCTGTTTATCATTCTATACAGGGCCACTTTGGCAACGAGCAGGAGGGACACAATAAATATAAGGCGAGAAACGCTGCGGCAGTGCACCTGCGATGTGCGACGTCTAGTTGCGGCGTGATGCCGAAAAAGAAAATCCGCTGTCCGTCACCAGCGCATATGTGGGAGACAAGCTACGCGTAGGCCCCGCGACAGTCGACGCTTTTCCGCTGACATGCATCCTAAAAATACACGGCTGCCCATATGAAGCACACAAAGACCCGGCTGTCCCTTCCTCGGATGCTGGCTTTGGCGCACGCCAAGCTCCACAGCTGCGAGTGTGTATGTGTGTTTTTTTTTTCCAAGCCATCTTTTGTTGTCTTCTCCGCTACCCCGCCAAAAAAAAAAAAATACGACCTGCCACCATCGGCAGCGGCAGAGGGATGCGGTGGGTGCTCGCCATTTCTTCCGTAAGCCATAGAAAAAATGTGTCGTAGACCCGTGCACAAAGACAAAAAATAATGCACACCTAGACTCGGTGTGGAAGACACGCAAAACAGAAGGACCGTGCGGTCTGTGCTTCTGTTTCCCCCCCCTTGCGGACGTTTCCTTGCCCCCCCCCCCCCCCCCCCTTTCTGAG